GCCAGCATAGCTTAATGAAAGCATAACACTGAAGCTGTTAAGATGGACCCTAAAAAGTTCTACGGGCACAAAGGCTTGGTCCTGACTTTTCTATCAATTCTAACTAGACTTACACATGCAAGTATCCGCACCCCAGTGAAGATGCCCACAGTTCCCCGCCCGGGAACAAGGAGCTGGTATCAGGCACACCCTAGGTAGCCCATGACACCTTGCTTTAGCCACACCCCCACGGGGAATTCCAGCAGTGATAGACATTAAGCCATAAGCGAAAGCTTGACTTAGTTAAAGTTAAATCAGGGCCGGTAAATCTCGTGCCAGCCACCGCGGTTAAACGGGAGGCTCAAGTTGATAGACACCGGCGTAAAGCGTGGTTAAGGACCCAACTTTTACACTAAAGCCGAACGCTACCAGAGCAGTGATACGCACCGAGAGTAAGAAGATCAATTACGAAAGTAGCTTTATTTAAACCTGACCCCACGAAAGCTAAGGCACAAACTGGGATTAGATACCCCACTATGCTTAGCCTTAAACATAGACAGTTGCTTATTCCCACTGTCCGCCAGGGTACTACGAGCATTAGCTTGAAACCCAAAGGACTTGGCGGTGCTTTAGACCCACCTAGAGGAGCCTGTCCTGGAACCGATAATCCCCGTTCAACCTCACCTTTTCTAGCCCTATATCAGCCTATATACCGCCGTCGTCAGCTTACCCTGTGAAGGTATTAAAGTAAGCGTAATTGGTATTACCCAGTACGTCAGGTCGAGGTGTAGCTTATGGAAAGGGAAGAGATGGGCTACATTCCCTCCCCCCAGGGAACACGAACGGCGCACTGAAACGTGTGCACTGAAGGAGGATTTAGAAGTAAGCAGGAAGTAGAGTGTCCTGCTGAACCCGGCGCTGAAGCGCGTACACACCGCCCGTCACTCTCCCCAAGTCTACCAATACCGTATAACTAATACGCTAAAACTTGCAAAGGGGAGATAAGTCGTAACATGGTAAGCGTACCGGAAGGTGTGCTTGGACTAATTCAGAGTATAGCTAAGACAGCAAAGCATCCCCCTTACACTGGGAAGACATCTGTGCAAATCAGATTACCCTGACGCCCATAAGCTAGCCCCCTCACCCAAAAACAACAAACCTTATTAATACCCCCTAATACACGATTAGGCCACAAAACAAATCATTTTTCCCCCTTAGTATGGGCGACAGAAAAGGGGCCCGTGGAGCTATAGAAAAAGTACCGCAAGGGAACGCTGAAAGAGAAATGAAATAAACCAGTAAAGCCTAGAAAAGCAGAGCTTTTTCCTCGTACCTTTTGCATCATGATTTAGCTAGTAGAATTCAAGCAAAGAGCACTTTAGTTTGACACCCCGAAACTAGATGAGCTACTCCAAGGCAGCCTGACTTGTAGGGCGCACCCGTCTCTGTGGCAAAAGAGTGGGAAGACCTTTGAGTAGGAGTGATAAACCTATCGAATTTAGTTATAGCTGGTTGCCTGGGAACTGGATAGGAGTTCAGCCTCCCGGCTTCTTTCGTCAACACATAATATTCAAGGGCCCCCGCCCTTAAACCCGACATAACAGAAACCGCGAGAGTTAGTCAGAGGGGGTACAGCCCCTCTGACACAAGATACAACTTTCCAAGGTGGGTAATGACCACATAATTCAAGGCAAAGTATTCTGGTGGGCCTACAAGCAGCCATCCCCAAAGAGTGCGTTAAAGCTCAAACATACTTACCCCCTTATATTCTGGCAGCCCTATCACAACCCCCTAAATTTACCAGGCCTTCCCATGCAAACATGGGAGAGTTTATGCTAAAATGAGTAATAAGAGGGCATATTTTCGCCCCTCTCTCCAGCACACGTGTAACTCGAAACGGACCCCCCACCGAGCTTTAACGGCCCCAATAAAAGAGGGAACTGAATAATGAATAAAAAACTAGAAAACCATTCAAAAACTACCGTTAACCCTACACTGGTGTACCTTCAGAGAAAGACTGAAAGGGCAAGAAGGAATTCGGCAAACATGAGCCCCGCCTGTTTACCAAAAACATCGCCTCTTGCAAACTTATGAATAAGAGGTCCCGCCTGCCCTGTGACTATATGTTTAACGGCCGCGGTATCTTAACCGTGCGAAGGTAGCGCAATCACTTGTCTTTTAAATGGAGACCTGTATGAATGGCATCACGAGGGCTTGACTGTCTCCTTTCCCTGGTCAATGAAATTGATCTCCCCGTGCAGAAGCGGGGATGCGCACATAAGACGAGAAGACCCTATGAAGCTTTAGACACAAGGGAGACTACCTTAATTACCCCTGGATAAAGGGCAAAAGCTAAAGGTAGCCCTCCCCAGCGTCTTTGGTTGGGGCGACCGCGGGGTAAAACAAAACCCCCATGTGGAATAGGAGCACCCCTCCTTCAACCAAGAGCTCCCGCTCTAAGGAACAGAACTTTTGACCAATCAATGATCCGGCATCGCCGATCAACGAACCGAGTTACCCTAGGGATAACAGCGCAATCCCCTTTTAGAGCCCTTATCGACAAGGGGGTTTACGACCTCGATGTTGGATCAGGACATCCTAATGGTGCAGCCGCTATTAAGGGTTCGTTTGTTCAACGATTAAAGTCCTACGTGATCTGAGTTCAGACCGGAGTAATCCAGGTCGGTTTCTATCTATGTCTTCCTCTTTTCTAGTACGAAAGGACCGAAAAGAAGAGGCCCACGCCCTTAGCGCGCCTCACCCTTACCCGCTGAGCACAACTAAACTGGGCAAAAGGGGATATATTTCAACTAGAGAAAATAGTATCTTAGGAAACACACAAGGTGCTTGCAAATAGCTTAGGTTGCCCTAAGAGGGCTAAAACCCTCTCCTATGAAAAAACATAAAGTTAGGATGGCACAGCCCGGCTACTGCAAAAGATCTAAACCCTTTATTCAGAGGTTCAAATCCTCTTCCTAACTATGCTATTAATACTCATTACTTACTTAGTCAACCCGTTGATATTAATAGTGCCCGTCCTCCTAGCTGTCGCCTTTTTGACCCTCCTCGAACGCAAAGTTTTAGGTTACATACAACTACGAAAAGGCCCAAACATCGTAGGGCCCTACGGGCTCCTTCAACCCATTGCTGATGGTGTTAAACTATTTATTAAAGAGCCCGTCCGCCCCTCAACCTCCTCTCCAATTCTTTTCCTTCTCGCCCCTATACTAGCCCTCACCCTAGCACTAACCCTCTGAGCCCCCCTGCCCCTCCCACACCCCATAATTGACCTCAACCTAGGCATTATGTTTATTCTAGCCTTGTCCAGCCTTGCAGTCTATTCTATTCTTGGCTCAGGCTGAGCATCTAATTCAAAATACGCCCTCATTGGAGCCCTACGGGCCGTAGCCCAAACTATCTCCTACGAAGTTAGCTTAGGACTAATCCTTTTAGGCACAATTATCTTTACGGGGGGATTTACTCTTCTCACGTTTAACACTGCCCAAGAAGCTATCTGACTAATCCTCCCTGCTTGACCACTAGCAGCAATATGATTCACCTCCACCCTTGCTGAAACTAACCGCGCCCCTTTTGACCTAACCGAAGGTGAGTCCGAACTAGTATCCGGCTTCAACGTAGAATATGCGGGGGGCCCCTTCGCCCTATTCTTCCTAGCCGAATATGCCAACATCCTCTTCATAAATACCCTCTCCACCATCCTCTTCTTGGGGGCCTCGTATGTTCCCCTCTTACCTGAACTCACCACAATTAACTTAATAATTAAAGCAGCCCTGCTCTCGGTCATTTTCTTGTGGGTTCGAGCCTCCTACCCCCGATTTCGATATGATCAACTTATGCACCTTATCTGGAAAAACTACCTTCCACTCACACTAGCCTTAATTATTTGACACCTCGCCATACCCATGGCGCTTGGAGGCATCCCTCCTCAACACTAACTTTGGAGCTGTGCCTGAAACAAAGGGCCACTTTGATAGAGTGAATTATGGAGGTTAAAGTCCTCCCGACTCCTTAGAAAGAAGGGATTCGAACCCTACCTAGAGAGATCAAAACTCTCAGTGCCTCCAATACACCACTTCCTAGTAGGGTCAGCTAACGTCAAGCTATTGGGCCCATACCCCGATCACGATGGTTCAACTCCGTCCCCTACTAATGAACCCCTACGTCTTAGCTACCCTGTTATTTTCACTTGGCCTCGGCACCACCCTTACATTTGCCAGTTCCCACTGACTCCTCGCTTGAATAGGCCTGGAAATTAACACCCTCGCAATCATCCCTCTAATAGCTCAACATAACCACCCTCGAGCCATTGAGGCAACTACCAAATATTTTCTCACTCAAGCCACCGCCGCCGCCATACTATTATTCGCGAGCCTAACTAACGCCTGACTAACAGGCCAATGAGATATCCAACTTATATCCCACCCCCTTCCCACCACTCTGGCATCTCTCGCACTCGCCCTAAAAATTGGCCTCGCCCCTCTTCATACCTGACTGCCAGAGGTTCTTCAAGGGCTTGACTTACCCACAGGCCTAATTCTCTCAACCTGACAAAAGCTAGCCCCTCTCACACTACTCCTTCAACTCCAACCCATAAATTCCTCACTCCTCATCATCCTAGGCCTAACCTCTACCCTTATTGGGGGATGAGGGGGCTTAAATCAAACCCAACTACGGAAGATCCTAGCCTATTCCTCTACCGCCCATCTTGGGTGAATAGTCCTGGTCCTTCAGTTCGCCCCCTCTCTTACCTTTTTGACCCTTATTATTTACTTAACCATAACCTTCTCAACATTCCTCACCTTCAATCTCAACAACTCCACAACCATTAACACACTGGCCACATCCTGAGCAAAAGCCCCTGTGATTTCATCGCTCGCACCCCTCATACTCCTGTCCCTAGGAGGGCTTCCCCCACTTACCGGCTTCATGCCTAAATGACTAATTCTACAAGAGCTAACTAAGCAAGACCTGGCCCCCGCAGCTACACTAGCTGCGCTAAGTGCTCTACTTAGCCTTTACTTCTACCTCCGCCTCTCATATGCCATAGCCCTTACCATAGCCCCAAATAACCTAACAGGAACCCTCCCCTGACGGCTCCTCCCCTCACAACATTCCCTCCCACTGGCCATCTCAATAACAGCTTCCCTGTCCCTCCTCCCTCTGACCCCCGCCCTTACAGCCTTATTCACCCTCTAGGGACTTAGGTAAAGCATTCAGACCAGGGGCCTTCAAAGCCCCAAGCGGAAGTGAAAATCTTCCAGCCCCTGATAAGACTTGCGGGCCACTATCCCACAGCTCCCGCGTGCAAGGCGAGCACTTTAATTAAGCTAAAGTCTTACTAGACAGGTAGGCCTCGATCCTACAATCTCTTAGTTAACAGCTAAGCGCCCAAACCAGCGGGCCTCCATCTAACTTTCCCCGCCTCCAAGAAAAAAAGGCGGGGAAAGCCCCGGCAGAGGGTCAGTCTGCTACTCTGGATTTGCAGTCCAGTATGTGAAAACACCTCGAAGCCTGATAAAAAGAGGATTTAAACCTCTGTTCGTGGGACTACAATCCACCGCTTAACTCTCAGCCATCTTATCTGTGGCAATCACACGCTGATTTTTTTCTACTAACCATAAAGACATTGGGACACTATACCTGGTATTCGGCGCTTGAGCTGGGATAGTGGGCACTGCTCTAAGCCTTCTTATTCGAGCAGAATTAAGCCAGCCGGGCGCCCTCCTCGGGGACGACCAGATCTACAATGTAATCGTTACTGCTCACGCCTTCGTAATAATCTTTTTTATAGTCATACCAATTATGATTGGGGGATTTGGAAATTGACTTATTCCGCTAATGATTGGGGCGCCTGATATAGCATTTCCCCGGATAAATAACATAAGTTTTTGACTGCTTCCTCCATCCTTCCTCCTCCTTTTAGCCTCCTCAGGAGTAGAAGCCGGGGCCGGGACAGGCTGAACCGTCTACCCCCCTCTTGCAAGCAACCTTGCTCACGCAGGAGCATCCGTTGACTTAACAATTTTTTCTCTTCACTTAGCCGGGATTTCCTCGATCTTAGGAGCTATTAATTTCATTACAACTATTATTAATATAAAACCCCCTGCCATTTCCCAGTACCAAACTCCTTTGTTTGTCTGAGCTGTTCTCATTACAGCCGTCCTTCTACTTCTCTCCCTCCCTGTTCTTGCAGCTGGAATTACTATATTACTTACAGACCGTAATTTAAATACCACTTTTTTCGACCCCGCAGGGGGTGGAGACCCCATCCTCTATCAACACCTTTTCTGGTTCTTCGGCCACCCAGAGGTATACATTCTTATTCTCCCCGGGTTCGGAATAATTTCCCATATCGTAGCTTACTATTCCGGTAAGAAAGAGCCCTTTGGTTATATGGGCATGGTCTGAGCGATAATAGCAATTGGTCTCCTGGGATTTATTGTTTGGGCTCACCACATGTTCACCGTAGGAATAGATGTTGACACACGCGCATACTTCACATCCGCAACCATAATTATTGCAATCCCAACGGGTGTAAAAGTCTTCAGCTGACTGGCAACCCTTCACGGAGGCTCCGTCAAATGAGACACCCCTCTTCTATGAGCCCTGGGCTTTATTTTCTTATTTACAGTTGGAGGCTTAACCGGCATCGTCCTAGCCAACTCTTCACTAGATATTGTACTCCATGACACATACTACGTAGTCGCCCACTTCCACTACGTCCTATCAATAGGAGCTGTCTTCGCTATTATTGCTGGCTTTATTCACTGGTTCCCCTTATTCTCAGGCTACACCCTTCACAGTACCTGAACAAAAATTCACTTCGGCATCATATTCGCAGGCGTTAACTTAACCTTCTTCCCACAACACTTCCTTGGTTTAGCAGGCATGCCCCGCCGATACTCTGACTACCCAGACGCCTATACTCTTTGAAACACAGTATCCTCAATCGGCTCCCTCGTCTCCCTCGTAGCAGTAATTATATTCTTATTCATCATCTGAGAAGCCTTCGCAGCTAAACGTGAAGTTTTATCAGTAGAAATAACCTCTACCAATGTAGAATGACTTCACGGCTGCCCGCCCCCTTATCATACATTTGAAGAGCCCGCGTATGTCCGGGTCCAAGTAATTACCCAAGAAAAGAGGGAGTCGAACCCCCGTAAACTGGTTTCAAGGCAGTCGCATTACCTTTCTGCCATAATCTTTCAAGTTAAAGGACATAAGATGCTAGTAAAACTAAAATTGCACTGCCTCGTCAGGGCAGAATTGTGGGTTAAAACCCCGCGCATCTTGCATAATGGCACATCCCCTGCAATTAGGTTTTCAAGATGCAGCTTCCCCTGTCATAGAGGAACTCCTACACTTTCACGACCACGCCCTTATAGTTGTATTCTTGATCAGCACTCTAGTCCTTTATATTATTCTAGCCATAATTTCAACTAAGCTTACTAACAAATTCATTTTAGACTCCCAAGAGATCGAAATTATTTGAACAGTACTCCCAGCAGTAATCTTAATTCTTATTGCCCTTCCCTCACTTCGAATTCTCTACCTTATGGACGAAATTAATGATCCCCACCTGACAATTAAAGCTGTCGGTCACCAATGGTACTGAAGTTACGAATACACCGACTACGAGGACCTCGGGTTCGACTCATATATAATTCCCACACAAGACCTGGCCCCTGGACAATTCCGCCTATTAGAAGCCGACCATCGAATAGTAGTGCCGGTGGAATCGCCCTTACGGGTGCTAGTAACTGCTGAGGATGTCTTACACTCATGAGCCGTCCCGGCGCTGGGTGTCAAAATAGACGCAGTCCCAGGCCGACTAAATCAAACGGCCTTTATTACATCTCGACCAGGAATTTTTTATGGGCAATGCTCTGAAATCTGTGGCGCCAATCATAGCTTCATACCTATTGTTGTTGAAGCGGTGCCACTAGAACACTTTGAAACTTGGTCATCCCTAATACTTGAGGATGCTTCGCTAAGAAGCTAAATAGGGTAAAGCGTTAGCCTTTTAAGCTAAAAATTGGTGCCTCCCAACCACCCCTAGCGATAAGATGCCCCAACTTCTCCCAACCCCGTGATTTACAATTTTTATTTACGCCTGAATAGTCCTACTTGCCGTAATTCCCCTAAAAATCCTATCCTACGTCTACCCAAACCACAACTACCTACGAGGCCTACAAAAACCTTCAGAGCACTCTTGGTTCTGACCCTGGTCTTAAGCTTCTTTGATCAATTCCTCAGTCCAACTTTCCTAGGAATTCCTCTAATCGCAGTCGCCCTGGCACTGCCTTGGGTTATATTCCCTGCCCTTCCATCCCAATGGCTGCCCAATCGTCAACTTTTACTTCAAAGTTGATTTATTAACCGATTTACACAACAGCTCCTCCTCCCACTAAACACTGGAGGGCACAAGTGAGCCCTTTTATTTGCCTCCCTCATACTCTTTCTTATTACCCTAAACATACTTGGCTTACTCCCCTACACCTTTACCCCTACAACACAGCTGTCTCTCAATTTGGGGCTTGCAGTACCCCTATGATTAGCAACCGTAATTATTGGCTTACGGAATCAAACTACCGTCGCCCTGGGCCACCTTCTTCCAGAAGGAACCCCTACCCCTCTAATCCCTGTACTAGTTATCATCGAAACAATTAGTCTATTTATCCGCCCCCTAGCCCTAGGGGTCCGGTTAACAGCCAACCTCACAGCCGGCCACCTTCTCATTCAACTCATCGCCACAGCCGCCTTCGTACTCCTCCCCTTAATACCAACAGTTGCGGCCCTCACAGCAGTCCTATTACTTCTCCTTACTCTTCTAGAAGTTGCCGTAGCAATAATCCAAGCATACGTGTTCGTGTTACTACTAAGTTTATACCTCCAAGAAAACATCTAATGGCCCACCAAGCTCACGCATACCACATAGTAGACCCTAGCCCTTGACCTCTCACGGGAGCCATCGCTGCCCTCCTAATAACATCAGGCCTCGCAGTCTGATTCCACTTCCACTCCACGACACTAATAATTCTTGGAACAATTCTGCTTCTCTTAACTATATTCCAGTGATGGCGGGATGTTGTTCGAGAGGGCACCTTCCAGGGCCACCACACACCCCCAGTCCAAAAAGGGCTTCGGTATGGAATAATCTTATTCATTACCTCAGAAGTTTTCTTTTTCCTGGGCTTCTTCTGAGCCTTCTACCACTCGAGCCTTGCCCCTACACCAGAACTAGGGGGCTGCTGACCCCCAACAGGAATTACTACTCTTGATCCATTTGAAGTCCCCTTATTAAACACAGCCGTACTCCTTGCTTCTGGTGTAACAGTCACTTGAGCCCACCACAGCATCATGGAAGGGGAGCGAAAACAAGCAATTCAATCCTTAGCCCTCACTATTGCCTTAGGCTTCTACTTCACCTTTCTTCAAGCAATAGAGTACTATGAAGCTCCCTTCACAATTGCAGACGGAGTTTACGGCTCCACATTTTTTGTGGCCACGGGCTTCCACGGGCTTCACGTTATCATTGGTTCAATGTTCCTCGCCGTTTGCCTACTGCGGCAAATTCACTTCCACTTCACCTCTGAGCACCACTTCGGGTTTGAAGCAGCCGCCTGGTACTGGCACTTTGTAGACGTAGTATGACTGTTCCTCTACATCTCCATCTACTGATGAGGCTCATAATCTTTCTAGTACTAAAAATAGTATATGTGACTTCCAATCATCGGGTCTTGGTTTAAATCCAAGGAAAGATAATGAACCTTATTACCACAATAATTGCTATTGCCACTAGCCTTTCCGTTCTCCTGGCGTTTATCTCCTTCTGGCTTCCCCAGATAGCCCCTGACCATGAAAAACTCTCTCCTTATGAGTGCGGGTTCGATCCACTTGGCACCGCCCGACTCCCCTTCTCCCTCCGCTTCTTCCTCGTTGCCATCCTCTTCCTGCTCTTCGACCTAGAGATTGCCCTCCTCCTCCCCTTGCCGTGAGGGGACCAACTACCCGCCCCCCTAATAACATTTAGCTGGGCAACCGCTGTTCTTACCCTCCTTATTCTCGGACTAGCCTACGAGTGGCTTCAAGGAGGCCTTGAATGAGCAGAGTAGGTTGTTAGTTTAAGAAAAACATTTGATTTCGGCTCAAAAACTTGTGGTTTAAGTCCACATCCACCTAATGACTCCGCCTCACTTCGCTTTCTCGGCAACTTTTATTCTAGCACTGACAGGCCTAGTGTTTCATCGAACACACCTCCTCTCTGCCCTATTATGTCTAGAAGGTATAATACTCTCTTTATTTGTGGCGCTCTCACTCTGAGCCCTTCAACTAGATATTACTAGCTTCCTGGCCTCCCCCCTCCTCTTACTCGCATTTTCTGCTTGTGAGGCAAGCACAGGCCTCGCCCTACTAGCAGCCACTGCCCGAACCCACGGCTCTGATCGCCTTCAAAGCCTTAACCTCCTTCAATGTTAATAGTCCTTACACCAACCCTTATACTTGTCCCTACTATCTGGGCCACCCCTGCCAAGTGACTCTGGCCATCTGCCCTACTACACAGCCTGCTTATTGCCCTAGCCAGCTTTACCTGGTTTAAAAACACTGCTGAGACAGGATGAGCTTTCTTAACCCCCCATATAGCTACGGACCCTTTATCGTCCCCCCTCCTGGTCCTTACTTGCTGACTCCTGCCACTAATGATTCTCGCAAGCCAGAACCACCTATCCTCCGAACCCTTAAACCGCCAGCGAATGTACATCACCCTTCTTACATCCCTACAAGTTTTCCTAATCATGGCCTTTGGCGCTACAGAAATAATTATATTTTATGTTATGTTTGAAGCAACCCTTATTCCAACACTCTTCCTTATTACACGCTGAGGAAATCAAGCAGAACGCTTGAACGCAGGCACATACTTCCTTTTCTACACACTAGCAGGCTCCTTACCTCTTCTAGTGGCTCTCCTCATTCTCCAAAATAACACAGGCACCCTCTCACTATTAACCCTTCCTTTCTCCAACCCTCTTCTCCTCCTCACCTGCTCCGATAAAATATGGTGGGCCGGCTGCCTCCTGGCCTTCCTAGTGAAAATGCCCCTATATGGGGTCCACCTTTGATTACCTAAAGCCCATGTCGAAGCCCCTATCGCAGGGTCCATAATCCTTGCAGCCGTACTTCTGAAACTCGGGGGTTACGGTATAATGCGGATACTAATTATGCTCGAATCTTTAACCAATGAGTTAAGCTACCCCTTCATCATCTTCGCACTCTGAGGGGTCATCATAACCGGCTCCATCTGTCTTCGTCAAACGGACCTAAAATCGTTAATTGCTTACTCCTCTGTAAGCCATATAGGGCTGGTAGTCGGAGGTATCCTCATCCAAACCCCCTGAGGTTTTACCGGGGCCCTTATCTTAATAATCGCCCACGGCCTAACATCCTCAGCACTCTTCTGCCTGGCGAACACAAACTATGAACGGACCCACACCCGAACAATAGTACTTGCCCGAGGGCTACAAATAGCCCTTCCCCTAATAACCGCTTGATGGTTCATTGCCGCGCTAGCCAACCTAGCCCTCCCTCCTCTACCTAATCTAATAGGGGAATTAATAATTATTTCCTCACTATTAAACTGGTCCTGATGAACCCTTGCGCTAACCGGGGCGGGCACCTTAATTACCGCCGCCTACTCTCTCTACATATTCATCATAACCCAGCGGGGCCCATTACCGATACATATAATTACCCTAGACCCCTCTCACTCCCGAGAACACCTTCTCATCGCACTTCATCTCCTCCCATTAATTCTCCTCATCTTAAAGCCAGAACTGGTATGAGGCTGGGCCGCATGTAGATATAGTTTAACAAAAACATTAGGTTGTGATTCTAAAAATAGAGGTTAAAATCCCCTTATTCACCGAGAGAGGTTTGCTAACACCGAAAACTGCTAATTTCCGCTATCTTCAGTTGAACTCTGAAGCTCCCTCGACTTAGCTTCTGAAGGATAACAGCTCATCCGTTGGTCTTAGGAACCAAAAACTCTTGGTGCAAATCCAAGTGGAAGCTATGTACGCCACCCCCCATATCTTAACCTCCTGCTTGATCATTGTCCTTATTATTCTTGTCTTTCCTCTCTTAACTACCCTTAGCCCCCACCAGCGAGGCTCAGACTGACCCCTGTCACAAGTTAAAACAAGCGTAAAGATCGCTTTCTTTACTAGCATAGTCCCACTATGCCTATTCCTTGATGAGGGGGCGGAAGTGATCGTCACCAGCTGAACGTGAATAAACACCCTTACCTTTGACGTAAACATCAGCTTTAAATTCGACATATACTCTATTATCTTCACCCCTGTTGCCCTATACGTCACCTGGTCTATCCTTGAATTCACCTCCTGGTATATGCACACGGATCCCTTAATTAACCGATTCTTCAAGTACCTCTTAACCTTCTTAATTGCAATAATTATTTTGGTTACCGCAAACAACCTATTTCAACTCTTTATTGGCTGAGAGGGCGTAGGAATTATATCCTTCCTCCTCATCAGCTGATGGTACGGACGAGCCGACGCAAACACTGCGGCCCTTCAGGCCGTGATTTACAACCGAGTAGGGGACATCGGCCTTATCTTTGCAATGGCATGAATGGTTATGAACCTTAATTCCTGAGAGATACAACAAGTATTTTTAACTTCCGAAGACCTCGATCTTACCTTTCCTTTAATTGGTTTAATCATCGCTGCTACCGGTAAGTCCGCCCAATTCGGCCTACACCCCTGACTCCCCGCCGCTATAGAAGGTCCCACCCCTGTCTCCGCCCTACTACACTCCAGCACAATAGTAGTTGCAGGAATTTTCTTGCTTATCCGAATAAGCCCTTTAATAGAGAAAAATCCCCTTGCATTAACTATCTGCTTATGTCTCGGGGCCTTAACCACGGTATTTACCGCCACCTGTGCCCTAACCCAAAATGACATCAAAAAGATCGTTGCTTTCTCAACATCAAGCCAACTAGGTCTAATAATAGTCGCCATTGGCCTTAATCAACCCCAATTAGCCTTCCTACACATCTGTACCCACGCCTTTTTTAAGGCGATACTTTTCCTGTGCTCCGGCTCAATCATTCACCACCTCTGAGACCAACAAGATATCCGAATAATAGGAGGGGCCCGATTTCTGTGCCCTACTACAACGACCTGTCTGGGTATCGGCAGCCTGGCCCTCACAGGCACTCCTTTCCTAGCAGGCTTTTTCTCCAAAGACGCCATCCTCGAGGCACTATCCAACTCCCACCTCAATGCTTGAGCTCTTATTCTTACGCTCATCGCCACGATATTCACTGCCGTCTACAGCCTCCGGCTGATTATTTTTGTAGCCCTCGGAAACCCACGAACCCCTCGATCCATCTTCCAAATGAACGAAGTTGACCCCGCCATCACTAACCCTATCAAACGCCTTGCCTGAGGAAGCATCCTCGCTGGTCTATTAATTACCTCAAACATTATCCCCTTAAAAACACCAGAAATAACTATGCCAGACGAGGTAAAAACAGCCGCCTTAATAGTTACCCTCCTTGGCTTTTTACTAGCCTTAGACCTGGGGAATTTAACAGGCCACCAACTCAAGTCAACCACTCAGCGCCCAGTTTACCTATTCTCCAATCTGCTGGGGTTCTTCCCCCCCATTATACACCGCCTCTCCCCAAAACTTAGTCTAAGCTTCGGACAAATAGTTGCCTCCCAAATAACAGACCAAACTTGACTAGAAAAAACAGGCCCTAAAGCAGTAACTTCTATTAATATATCTCTCGTCACAACTACTAGTAATGCACAACAAGGGTTGATTAAGACATATCTCGCCCTATTCTTAGTTACTATTATCCTCGCCACACTACTAGTTAGCCTCTAACATAGGCTTACTTTCAAGCTAATACCGGAACGAAATAAATGTCCTGGCCACAAGTAGACGTTTTGGCGCAAAAAAAGCCCTGGACAATGTCCAGGGCCTTCGGGTATTTTATCACGCACTAGGTAAGAGAGTTTTGATGCTTAACCGGCGAAGCCGTGCATCTATGGAACTACAAGTTTAGAACGGTGTGCTTTGATACTTAAAATATTAAGCATCCCCACTCACGAAACAGCTTGCCGAGCCGCCCCGCGAGAAACCCGTGGTCACAGGATATTGCCGTCCACTACGGACGCCTTTATATCCTAGTAACACCCGCAAAGTACCGCAATAGTAAGCACGATTGTAATAGTGAGCATCTCGTACTCCTTCCAAGACTCTAACTTGGACCAATGGCTTGAAAAACCACCGTTGTTCTTCAACTAAGGGAGCATTAATGGCCGCCCTCCGTAAAACACACCCCCTATTAAAAATCGCAAATCATGCACTTGTTGACCTGCCGGCCCCTTCAAATATTTCAGTTTGATGAAATTTCGGTTCGCTCTTAGGCCTATGCTTGATTTCCCAAATTCTTACAGGTCTATTTTTAGCTATACATTATACTTCAGATATCGCAACAGCCTTCTCCTCCATCGCACACATTTGTCGAGATGTTAACTATGGCTGACTTATTCGTAATCTTCACGCCAATGGTGCATCTTTCTTCTTTATTTGTATTTATCTTCACATTGGCCGAGGCCTGTACTACGGCTCATACCTGTATAAAGAAACATGAAACATCGGGGTAATCCTTCTCCTCTTAGTAATAATGACAGCCTTCGTAGGCTATGTGTTGCCCTGAGGACAAATATCTTTTTGAGGCGCTACAGTTATTACTAATCTATTATCCGCCGTACCTTATGTAGGTAATACACTAGTTCAGTGGATTTGAGGGGGCTTTTCAGTAGATAACGCCACTCTTACACGGTTCTTCGCGTTCCACTTCCTATTCCCATTCGTAATCGCTGGTGCCACAATACTACACCTCCTTTTTCTTCATCAAACGGGCTCCAATAACCCCTTAGGCCTTAACTCAGATGTAGATAAAATCTCATTCCACCCCTACTTCTCATACAAAGATCTCCTAGGGTTCGCAATTGTTCTAATTGGATTAACTAGCCTCGCACTGTTTTCCCCTAACCTCCTAGGAGACCCAGACAATTTTACACCAGCCAATCCGCTGGTAACCCCTCCCCATATTAAGCCCGAGTGATACTTTTTATTTGCCTACGCTATTCTTCGCTCAATCCCAAACAAACTAGGCGGGGTGTTGGCATTACTAGCATCTATTCTAGTACTTATAGTAGTACCCTATTTACATACATCAAAACAACGAAGTATAACATTCCGACCCGTAACACAGTTTTTATTCTGGGCTCTCGTCGCTGATGTTATAATTCTCACTTGAATTGGAGGCATGCCCGTTGAGCACCCTTTCATTATTATCGGCCAAGTTGCTTCCTTACTGTATTTCCTCTTGTTCCTTGTCTTCATCCCCGTTGTTGGAGAATTAGAGAACAAAGCTTTAGAGTGGCTTTGCATTAGTAGCTCAGTGTAGAGCGTCGGTCTTGTAAGCCGAATGTCGGAGGTTCAACTCCTCCCTCTTGCTCAAAGAGAAGGGATTCGCACCCCGACCACTCCCTCCCAAAGCCAGCATTCTCTATTAAACTACTCTTTGAGATACATTTATATTTAACGCAGGCATTAAGCATCTATTACAAATAACAAATGTATATACATATATATATATGATTAAAAAAATTTACACTTTCTGAGGCCACAAACACAAATTCGGGGCTCGTTCACACTATATTTATTCCCAAATCTCGCAGGGCGAGATTCATATATATGTATAGTTTCAGGTGGGGCAAAGGTCATATGAACATTTAGGGGGGGGGAGTATAAAGAGGTTTATGCAAACATCTGCATTGTACGCACAAGGAGGGGCACTCCCCCACCCGAGTGCCACAAACGCGTGTATTATTACATACATGCAACAATGCATTTAGTATGTCATTACACCTATGTCAAAAGCGCATAGACATGTAATAGTACATGATATGTGATAGCACTATATGTGTTATCACATATTATGTACTATTACATGTGTATGCGCTTTTTGCGCAAAATTTTGGCGGATTTTACATGGTAAAACACAGTGTTGTGTAACATAACATATCATGTAACATAACATATCATGTAATGTTACATATCATGTAATGTTACATATCATGTAGTATAGCATATTATGTATTAACACATATTATGTAATATTACATATGTAGTATAGCATATTATGTATTAACACATATTATGTAGTATTACATATGTAGTATAGCATATTATGTATTAACACATATTATGTAATATTACATATGTAGTATAGCATATTATGTATTAACACATATTATGTAATATTACATATGTAGTATAGCATATTATGTATTAACACATATTATGTAATATTACATATGTAGTATAGCATATTATGTATTAACACATATTATGTAATATTACATATGTAGTATAGCATATTATGTATTAACACATATTATGTAATATTACATATGTAGTATAGCATATTATGTATTAACACATATTATGTAATATTACATATGTAGTATAGCATATTATGTATTAACACATATTATGTAATATTACATATGTAGTATAGCATATTATGTATTAACACATATTATGTAGTATTACATATGTAGTATAGCATATTATGTATTAACACATATTATGTAGTATTACATATGTAGTATAGCATATTATGTATTAACACATATTATGTAATATTACATATGTAGTATAGCATATTATGTATTAACACATATTATGTAGTATTACATATGTAGTATAGCATATTATGTATTAACACATATTATGTAGTATTACATATGTAGTATAGCATATTATGTATTAACACATATTATGTAGTATTACATATGTAGTATAGCATATTATGTATTAACACATATTATGTAGTATTACATATGTAGTATAGCATATTATGTATCAATACACTACAATGAATGAACACAGGAGAAGTGATTTGAAAAAGGGGTTACAATGTTTTCAGACATAAACAACAAAGTTAACCATTCATCCTGAATGTCAGATTATTCAGAGTGTAATGTTGGTAAACTAGAACCTGTCTAGAATAATCCATTCAGTCAAACATGTGAGAGCCTTATCACGGGAGAGATCAGGGGTCCGTTATTATTGAAGGTCAGGGACAATACTTGAAGAATAGCACCTAGTGAACTAATATTTGCATTTGGCTGTTACTTCAGGGACAAAACTAGATTGTTACTCACACTTTTATCGTAAGTGACATAGGTAAATGCTTGAAAACATAACCGGGAGCACCCAGCATGCCGAGCATTCTTTCCAGAGGGCCAGGGGTAGTCTTTTTTTTTTTTCCCTTCACTGACATCTCAAAGTGCGGGCGAAGCCGCGCCGAAGGCGCATAAGAGTGTGCTACCCCCTCCTTTCCGGAGGAAAGTTATGTTAATGTTTTAAAATTTTGTCCTTTTTTGGACTCATAAATACTCCTGAGTACATACTAATAATAATTTTCCCCCCCTACCCCCCCAAAATCGGTGTGTTATTGCACATAAGTTTTATCGAAACGCCCCTCGATGTAGCAGGCGCGTAACCTCAAACACAACGAAGAGGGTTAAAAGTAGTGCCCCTGCACTAATTACCAATAGTGGGCCTCCTAACGAGTATATTCATGAAACCCCTCCAATATCCCCCCGCTGAGGGGCCAACTCCTCAACGCTTCCCCCGAAGCCCCACAAAACTCCATACTCTTCTTTCCAAAAGAAGCCAGAGGCTACCATTACTCCTAAAAGGTATCCCACCGCCTGCCCCGCTACACCCCCACTCCCTCAACTCTCAGGGTACCGATCGGCGGCAAGCGCCGCCGAGTATACAAATACAACTAATATTGCCCCTACATAGATTATAACTAAAATTAACGCCAAAAATGTGCCCCCAGAGCCAACTACTACTGCACAGCCAAACCCTGCGACCGCTACCAGGCCAAAAGATCCATAAAAGGGAGAAGGATTACAAGCTACCGCAATCATGCTCAAAATAAATCCCCCTAAGAAAAAGCAACTAACATACGTCATCATAAATTCTTGCTTAGCATTTAACCAAGTCCAACAGCCTTTTATCTTTACAGCCACCGACTTCAAGAACTACTACACCTACTTTCTCTCTTGTCCCGCTCCCAATTTATTAACGCGTATTATATATATACATGCGCATGTGAAACATTTTACCCGCCCTG